CGGAGATTTACAGTGACTCGGTGGGTATATGGCGCTGGCTTAATCACCATTGGGTCCTAGCCCAGGGTTCACAAAGCATTCTCAGACATAAGAATTTACTCAACTTTCAATCACTGTTTATGAGAAATATCTTTGATTCAGAAACACAAAACTTTGCACATAGTTTCTTATTGATGTATTTGATACCTTAAAACAACAAAAGTTTTATAAAAGGCCTATATTTTAGTTATAAGACCGCGAACAGTTTTGAGTAAATCGTTACATCAAGTCTGAGAATGATCTGATGTGGCGCAGGATAGAGGGGTCATTCGGCATACAGAGATCCATATACTTCATTCCTCGAGAATAGATCTCTGCCCTAAATGGCCGCCATATCTAAAAATTAGTGTACTGTTTTATAATGCGGTTTCACATCCGGCATACACACAAAGACTAAATAAATCTGTTCAATTACATTAAATGGAAGCAGAATAAATACTCAACAAAATTTTCGAAGTATACTTAGTGTTTTCGACTAAAATCATCGATTTAGGACTTAAAATGTCGGTCAACTAGCTTAGTGTCTGTTCTCAAGCGGAGCTAACTGTAGACAGACAGCCTAAGTTTAGTATGGTTAGAAGCCATGGCAAGAAAGGATGTTTACTCGATCCGTCACACTGATCAGAAGTGAATATTCGCTAGGCCGCTACAATCACTGATAAAGATGACATCGATGCGACTTAATGAGTCCCAAATATTAACTTTTTTCCTGCGACAAATTAAATTAGAAAAATAAATACACATGTTTGAAGTATTTATAGGTTAAACATATTTCCTATTTAGTGTACGTGACAAGGAGTAGGGTCGCCTGTCCAACCTCGTGGGTTTTCTCCGGGTCCTCCGGTTTCCTCCCACTGCTAAAGACCCCTACGCGCAAGCGAATTATTGAAATAAAATTAAAACCATATGTTAGTCCCGAAATCTCTCTCTCTATCTCTCTCTCTCTCTCTCTCTCTCTCCTATTTAGTGGAAATGGGTATTAAAATGAGTAAAAGGCGCCATTCTGCCCGTACCAGTAACGTAAACAATGCACTCCCCATTGAGCCAATGATTGACCCCGCGTGATGTGACGTCATGTGTTGAAGACGGTTATCTTTTATAGAGATATTAGAAGATTTTCGTAATCCTCTGTGAAACAGATACTGTTTAAAAGAATCCTTGACAGTTGGTATTCGAGTAGGCGCGTGCCACTCTTCACAAGCCCGGTTGGCGCAGAAAAGTTGGACGTTATATCCCCATTTCATTTGTCTACGAAGTGAACACCCAATGGAGAGACAGAAATGGGATTTAACGTCCACTTGACACAAACTAGGTCATTTCGGGACTAACATATGGTTCAATTTTATTTCAATAATTCGCTTGCGCTTAGCAGTGGGATGAAGCCGAAGGACCGGAGAAAACCCGCGAGGTTGGACAAGCGACCCTACTCCTTGTTACATGCAAACCTTATGATACAACGCGCACGCGCTAACCATTCGGCCATCCACCGCAAACCCCTACACCCCGGACTAATGAAGACGGGTATACGCCATTGAGCGTGCTATAAGGGAAATTGGACAATGGCCAAATGGTTAGCACGTGCGCGCTGTATCATACGGTCTGTCATTGAGTCAACTGGCGGGGTTTCGATTCCCCGGTTGAACGTGACAAGGAGTTGGGTCGCTTGTCCAAATTCGTGGGTATTCTCAGGGTCCTCCGGTTTCCTCCCACTGCTAAAGATCCCTACGCGCAAGCAAATTATTGAAATAAAATCAAATCCATATGTTAGTCCCGAAATGACCTGGTTTGTGTCGAGTGGACGTTAAACCCCATTTCTCTCTTTCTCTCTCTCGCCGAAGAACAACTGCCAAGGGTTCTTTTACATGTACGCGAACGTCTACACTTGACCTCGGTTTTACGTTCTATCCGAACGACTAGGCACTGTTCCATCCACTTACAAGACCCCGAGCTGGGAAATCTAGTTGAAGTTTCTCGGCCATCACATGAACCTCAAGGAGACAAGCGCCCGCGCCCAATTGTCCATATTAAGTAACAGGAGGAACTTCAACGCAGAATTAATGTTGGATTTCTTCCTTAATATTGAATTAATCCATTTCAATAATCTGATTATTAGTTGATCGTCATTTACGGACAGTTTCCGAAACCACAACCGCAAGCCAGAGCATCCCAAACTTAGGCTGCCTATCTACAGCTAGCTCCGGCTATTTCTGGGAAGTATGACGTAGATGGGTCGCTGCGTGCAGTATGAAGCCAGAGGTGACCGACCAGCTAGAGGTCGAAGCGTGACACTCTAGACCACTAGCCCCCCTCCCTCCCCGCCCTTGGTATGCCATGTGTGAAATAGCTTTATTTAACGTCCGCTTCCACCGAAGTGATATCGCAGACAAATGCGTTATGCCACGGGTTCAGAATTCATGTACCCCATGGAAATGGACAATTCGCGTGATTTCAATATAATGCTATGGGAATTAACGGGCGTATAAAATGGTTTCAATACAACAACTGTCATGTTCAGATTGTAATGTACATTACTTCCTAGTCATATTATTCAAACAATGGCTCACATAATCCTACAAATCCACTTCATCATGTTCATATCTCGGTTCCCTTATATATATATATAATAATATGTTGTTCCTCGGGCAAAACCAGCGGTCGTCACGCCCCTGGCCGAATTTTGTCACGGGGGTTTCATCAACGGTTTGTGTGTTGTATTCAGGAATTCCCCATACGATGTATATTGTCGTCAAATCTAAAGAACAAAGTTCTATAATACGTCCATGTTTTTATGTTGATATCAAATATTGATATATGATCAGAGAACACCATTTGGGAAGTAATATAGTTAAAACTGTGTTAATGGCGTCCTGTATTCCATTCGACATCTAAAGACTGTGTCGCAATACCCGTTTTATACGCCCACATCTTCATTTAGACGTATTGTCATCGCCCTCTAGAGAACGCAAAACCAAAGTTGCGAACTCTCTAGAGGTCACAATTTTTATCCGATTTGATGAAACTTAAAATATATGTCCATATCCAAAAATCTTGGGTGGGTTCTGTTTTGGGACGTATCGGGCCCGTACGTAACCAACGTACGAAAATTAAATGGTACCTGGCTTTTTTTCTGCAGGTAGGGTGAGTCTGTTGTTCAGATTGGTATCGGGCCTTAACTTCCTAGAGGTCACAGCATGTTTCTTACTGTAAGTTTGCTGCTAACTCTTCTTTAAAATCCCTTCCACCCTCCTTTAACCAAATAGTATGAAACCATGTAATGTATATGCCACGTTTGTCAACCATCTAGATTCAACTTAAGATATGTGAATATATTAATAATAAAAAGGTTTTAGGGACCACCGGACAGATACGTTCTGAGTTATGTCCCCTGTCTTTTACACAGAATGTGTAATATGTTCTGTACATAGGCAGATCCTTTCGAGGCCACAACTTTTGTCCAGTTCACAATTTGTTTTTAATTATCATGTGTAAATGATAACACATGTCCGTCTGACCGTTAGTCAGTCAGTCAAAAATTACTTGAGGATGAGCCCTATAGACTTTCCCGGTTCTCCGCCCATCTCTTGTAAAATATGGGGCGTACCTTACATGAAAACCGCTCGTTTAGATACTCAATCAAATGTATCAATCGTGAAAGTCTTTCAAATCATTTCGCGGAATTTTCTGCATCTCAAGTTTTGATTGGTAGGTAGATCTAGACTCGACCAATCACAAATCATTAAGAAATGTTTTTAGACCAAGTTGAAAATGAAAACGGGATAAAATTTAGGTGTAAATTCAATTAGACAATGATTATGCCAAAACTGTCAAGGACAGAAATGAAATGAGGTTTAACATCCTGCTGTTCTGCTCCGACTGGGCTAATGAAGACGGGCATACGCCATAGTGTGCTATAAGGGAAATTTAGCCCGGGCAGCAGCACTATGACCTACTCTTATATTGAATTCCAACTGTCATGGGATCTGTAATGTGCACGCCAATGTATACATTGGACCTTGGTTTTTGTTCCATCCAAACAACTAGACAGCTGTACCACCGACAAGGGGGGAAACCACATAGGAAAATCCCTATAACTTTCTCGGCCAATACAGGGATCGAACACGCGACGTCCAGGCTTGCAAGCCAGTGTCCACCCACTTAGTCACCATGACTCAATCATGGAGGGAATTCATGTAAAAATGCTAAATAAATAAAAGGCACCCCTCCCCCCCACGAGCCCTCCCCCCCCACGAGCCATCAATTATTAAAGTAGACATTGTTAATATGCGGAATATTAGATTCCAATTTCTATGGTAGACGTGTAAAATCTCTTAGTCTGTTGGATATTTATAATGTATTAATCAAGAGTAGTCGTTCATTTTAAAGGGACAATAACACTCTTGCTGGCTCGAAAGCTCCAAAAAATAAATAATATCTCTATCTAAGCACTAGATGTTTAAGTGTCCTACCTGTTGTGTAAATTATCCATTACATCCTATTTTACTTGTCCAGAGGGTTCGAAAATATTTTTAAATCGAAGTTTCATTTGAAAAGGTTTACGTTAGACGTTTCAAACCATTATGTTGAATTTTTCAAAATTTTTAAATAAGGTGTGTTAAGATGAAATTTGTATCATCAATTAATTGAAATATTCTAAAATAGTACAATTTGTTGACCAGAATAAAGATTGGGACATATTATTCAGTTACAACAAGAGTGGTATTGAGCCTTTAATACCGGTAATAGATTACAACAATAACAAGATTAGAAGCTCCATTTACACTCAACAAATAAAAACATTAGAATAAATATGATTAGAAGTTAGCAGGATATCAACAAACAAAGAATTCTCAATCTGATATCCCACAATATGAAACATGTTTGGACGGGGGGCGACAACAATATACGACCACATTTCAATGTGGGCGTATAAAAATTAACAACTCACAGTTTTTAACAAAAACTTCATGTTTATTATTTACAGAAATATAATTTATATTTTCATTGTTTAATTTTACATATTATTGTTTAAATAAACTAGTTTCAGTAGCCATCAATTATAGTCAGCTGAAATATTGCTAGCCGGATGTTGACAGTGTGGTTGACAAGGCATGAACTGGGTGTAGGCGTGGCCTGCCTCTTGTTTTTGTACGCCGTTCAATCGTCCATGATTGTTCTACAACTTGAAAACAATATGGCGATTATTTAGGGGGTTAATTTTTTTTTATTTGATTATTTCTGTAGTTTTGTAATCGGAGTTCAGCTTTAACCGTTGTATTCATTTGTAGTCAGTCTTTGAGGATATACAACTCGAGTATATTACACACTCCTAATCTTATATCTCAATATATGAAATATAAACTTGCATCTGGATAACCATGTCTACATACTTGTCATAGCTATCATCAACAAGTCACTCACACAATTGAACCAATGGTCAATGTGATCCTGATTATTTCCAAAAAGCCTTATATATTGAGTTAAAGATTTCGAGCAAGATTTTTGTGCTATTCAATATATTTTGGTGTTTAATTTGCATCAACAGGGTCCCAATTCAATGGGGGTCAATAACTTTTAAATAAGAATTCAAGGTACATGTATGAACAGAGAGAGAGAGAGAGAGAGAGAAATGGGGTTTAAACTTTAAACCCAAGAAATTGAACAGACCACCCGACCTGTCACTACAGAGAGAGAGGAATGGGGTTTAACGTCCACTAGACACAAACCAGGTCATTTCGGGACTAACATATGTTTCAATTTTATTCCCATAATTCACTTGCGCGTAGGGGTCTTTAGCAGTGGGAGGAAACCGGAGGACCTGGAGAAAACCCACAAGGTTGGTGTCACGTACAGACAGGGAATCGAAAACATGGTTCCTGACTCAATGGGGTTTAAATCCAAGTAATAAAACTGACGATCCTACTCCTTGTCACGTACAACCAGGGAATCGAAAACCACACCACTTGACTGAATTACAGACCTTATGATCTAAAGCCCAGGGATTAGACTATTCGGCCATCAATCCCCCCCTGTATTAACACTGTGTAATATAACACAGGTATTACACCATTCAGCCATCGATCCCCCTGTATTAACACGGTGTGATATATTATTTACTGAACTTGAATGGATTGTATTCTGTTGGTGACTTGTTCCATAGCTTGATTTATTCTCTCTGGATTCATAAAAAAATCCACAAAAAATGTTCTTTCTCTCGATAATAGTCGGTCATCTTTTAAAGCCTACAGTAAAAATTACAAATAAAAAAAACAGTTAGCCATTGAACAATTTAAAGGGGCATTATATAAGATAAAGAGCTGGTCAAAAATAGATAATGCACCATGAATATATTGAAAATTTCATTCAAATTACTTTATTTTGAGCCAAGTTATCACTGTTTGTAGTTTTGACAAGATGTGTGCATTGATTGTAACCATGGTACTGGTCATTCGAGTCTTAGCCTTGCATCTCCACTTTTAAATTAAATCATTAAATGGCCGAACCGTTCTAATCTACTTAAAATTGGAGCAATCTGGTGGCAATCGACACAAACTAGGTCATGTCAAGACTAACATATGGTTCAATTCTTTATTTCAATAATTCGCTTGTGCGTAGGGGTCTTTAGCACTGGGAGGAAACCGGAGGACACAGAGAAAATCAACAAGGTTGGACAGGCAACCCTACTCTTTGTCACATATAACCGGGAATCAAAACCATGTCAGTATGGACAGACAGGGCTGACAACAATATACAGACTACATTAAAATGTGAACCCAAATTAAAAGGGTTCTATTATGTCCAATCTGAAAGACTCTGTGCTGTTATTTACCAGCCCTTAAGTCAGCAGGGGGAAACCATGGTGGAAAGTCCAAAGGAACTTGTGCGGGTATGACGAGGATTAAACCCAGGACCTCCTGGACTTGTGTTTAACTCGACCCAATCATCTTTTAAAATGAGCTGAAGAATAAAAACTGGTAATTCCTAATACAGAGAGAGAGAGAGGGAGGGAGAGAGGGAGAGAGAGAGAGGGGGAGAGAGGGAGGGAGAGAGAGAGAGAGAGGGAGAGAGAGGGAGGGAGAGAGAGAGAGAGAGAGGGGGGAATCCAACACCATTTAAATAAGAAACTTTGATGGAATCCAAGTCATACAGTGACACCCGTAAGAGTCAAAACAGAGTCAAAACTTACTTTCTAATTTGTGTAATTGTGTTCTCTGATGATGAAGTAAGTTTTATAATTACGTTACATGCTATAAAAGATAGTTTTATCATATCCTTGTTTTTATAACCAGATTAAAATATAGTCACATAAAAAGAAAATCAACTTACTGTTTTTTTGTTATTAATAACACGTAAACTATCAACTATGGTGGCCTCCAGTTTTTTTAACATGTTATCTAAGTTTTTAATAGCATCTTGAACTGGAGGTGGACTTAAAACAGGTTGACCAGTTGTACTTGATCCTTCATAAATACTTCGTTCACATATTCTCACATTATCTTCCCTGGAAATATACACAAATATATAAATATCATTTCATGAAATATTACATTATATTCCCTATAAATCTTTACAAAAAATAAAAATTATAAAGACACAAGGAGGGGTGAAAGTCAGAAAGAAATTAATAAGTAAACTTACAATGTATGTAATTTATCGTAATGTTTGGTAGCTGTGTTTAACATGGCTGTATAAGCGTCTTGATGATCTTGTTGTAATTTGTCTCCACCTTCCAGTAAACTAGAATATGTTAAAAACAGTTGTTTCTCTACGCCATCTCCATCAACTGAAAATAATTATAACATTACATCATGATTAGTTGTCAATCAAATACTGGTTTCACTTTTAAAATATTTTAACAAATCAAGTGAATGGATCTGGAGGCCAGCCGTAACATTCCACTTGGAGACAAATATACAGTAGATCTACTCTTCTTCAAGCACACCACAAGCACACCACGAATATAAGTGTTGACTTCAATTCTTTGTCCAATCTCAACGACTAGTTGTTAAGAACACTTTCTACTGTGAAGGTTTTGAAAAAACCTCAGCAGGGCTGGAGTCATTACATTGCCAATGTAGAAATGAAATGGGGGTTTAACGTACTACTTTTCTTCTCCGATTGGGCTAATGAAGACGGGCATAATTAATTACATTACCATTACTTTTTAAATGTAATCATTACAATTACTTTCTCATTTTTAGCAATGTAATTAATTACCATTACCAATTACATTGAAAGTAATTAATTACCATTACCCATTACAAAGAATGTAATTAATTATCATTACCAATTACATTTTCGGTCCACGCCAGGATGCGAAACCCAGCTCATCCTAGTGGAGTTTGCCCTGGTCACTTGAATACCACGACACACTTTCATCTGTTATCAAGGATTTTTTTTTACAAGCACACCAAAATGTACAATTTTTTTGTCGTATCTGAAGACTAAGGATACTTTCCTTACCACGGGTTTGAAGAATCCTTTGAATCCGGGTCATTCTTATGGAGCATGTCCTGACCAATCAACCACCGTGGCAGTCCATTATGATGTAATGTTACGTACCTAAGATATGATGTAATCTAGTTGTAGCAGTATCTCTTGTATCAATCGTTCCTCTCTCGTATTTACTTGCTTTTAAACTAGGATCATCCATTACAGTCTGAAAACATAAAAACAACAAATATGTTGTTAAATTACTCAGCACCGCTCGGCAAAGTAAAAGTTCTAAACTCAACACTCATTATCTAATCTGGCCGAAAAATCCTTATAAAAACCGTCAACAATTTTTTACAGTAAAAAAAAATGGAAATAAAATTGTCCTTTGAGAAATGAGCATTTGTGCAAATCAGGTTCATTACTTTGTAGCAAATTGATAAGCAACGGTTAAGATTTGATGTGAATCCGGTTATCAAGACCCCCAAGTCTCTTTATCCCTTCAAGTTTCACGGATCTCTGTTGATCGTTGTACATCCATAGTAGTGTCTGTCAGGGTGTCTGACTTGAAATCATATGATTAGAGTTTGCGAAGAGTCATAACTTTCACCAATGATGTACAAGACTATGAGACTGGGCAATCAGGACTACATACCATTCTATTTTTCCAGTCTTTCAGATGTTGTTGTAATTGAAGTCTGATGGCTGTAAGATGACGATGTATGTCCCTGTGATGTCGTGCTTCAACTTCATACGCCATTGTTAAAAATTCATTTCTTGCTCTTTGGTTAACGAGCAGTGCAATAACCTGTTGAAAAACATTTATTAAATTATAACCGCGCACAGAGCACTCACTTGGGTGGATGTGGCGCATTATCAAATGCAATATATTATTATTATCATATTAAAAATTCAGGAAGAGAAATTAGTAGATTTTAAAGGCAGATAATTTTATTTAATATATCTAATTCGGATTGCCAGAGGAATGATGTAGGAAGGAGGGTCTGGCAAGGAGCATCAGTCTGCAGTTCAGATGGGACAAAAGAACTAAGTACGATGTAAACGTTGGTGTGAACATAAAAAACAAAAAAAACTTGACAATTGTAATTTGATGAAGAGCAGATATAAAAAGCCAGTGTTCATGTAGTCTTCATGGAAAATTCCCCTCACAGCACACACTGCATGGTGTACGCCCGTCTTCATTAGCCAGAACTGGTCACATTTACGCATAAAATTTCAATCTCCCAAATACACGAGTTAATCAATTATGATGTTTAAATTAAAATATGCATACACGAAACATATGGTTCAATTTTATTTCAAGGTTCTTTAGCAGGAGTAGGTGGGAGATTGTCCAACCTCGTTGGTTTTCTCTGGGGGCCTCCGGTTCCCTCCCACTGCTAAAGACCCCTACGAGCAAGAAATTATTAAAAAAATATTGAATCATATGTTAGTCCCGAAATGACCTAGTTTGCGTCGAGTGGACGTTAAACCCCATTTCTCTCCCTCTCTCTCTGTCTCTTTATGAGTATGACCCAAAGCGCATGCATTAGACCAACACTACTGCATAAAGCCCATTTGTATGTAATCAAAGTTTTGAAATTGATGCTGTGTTCAGATGGCCTTAGATTAAAATGGACGTACCTTATCTTGATTGGAGGTAAAATAATCCTGTCTTGCTAGTTTAAGATTGTAATCTCCCGTTAATATATGTGTACCTTGTAAGGGAGCTAACTCTTTAACTAATAATGGTAGATCACCTTCAAGTAGAGTTGATAGATCTCGTCGAACAGTTTGTAAACTAGACTGTGTTTCTTGTAATTGTGTACTGGATAAACAACAACAATTATTAAAGATATGTTATGGAAGATTCTGAGCGAAAATAAGGATGTTGGAAGTTTAGACAAGATTAGCGTAGTCTTGATTTTCATTGCTACCACTGTTACAATAATAAACAAAGTCTTGATTATCCATTTTTAAATTAAAATAAAAAATGGTGATCATGTGTGATTCCGTTTCAAATCATGACCATCCGATGCTCTAGAAAGTTGAGTGTGGTCTTGTCCTATGAATAAATGTCTTATTAATAATTTATATAGCATTTGAAACCAAAAGAAAGACCTGCACTTGGCAGATTTACCTCTTGCATAATGTATCTTTACGTTTAAAATTAGAAATTACATATACAAGAATTGAAGACATACTATTCTTAACACTGCCATAGACTATGGCTTCTTATCTTCGAATAGTAACCATATAGGCCCCTTAAATCCCCTTTCAGTCCGTTTTCAGTCTAGATACAGATTGAACTGAGAAACAAGACCAAACAAATCGTGAATATTGATAGTTTGTCAAGAACAATGCATGAAATAAAAAGATTGACAAACCTTAATTTATTTGTATCAAGAGGAAAGTTTCCTGATTGTAGAAGATTTAATAAATCACTGGCTGTATTAACGGCACTTTTAACACTTTTATCTTCTACTATACTAAATACTCTCTCTGTTTCACTTAATGGATAACTGTAATATACAACATAGATCATGTTTAACACTCTACGATACTTAATACTCTCTTGATCTCACTTAATAGATAACTGAAATATAAATTATAGATCATGTTTAACACACTAGCTATGATACTTAATACTTTCATGGTTTCACTTAAAAGGGCATTATGGAAGATTAGATAAAGAGCTAGTCGTTATCACTATAATAGTTGAAAAATAGATAATGTAAATGGAATATGCTGAAAATACCAGTCAAATTGCTCCACTCTGAACCGAGATATAAGCATTTGAAATTTAGGCCTAGCCTCAATCATCATTACTGAAGTCTGTATGATAAAAAACATAGTCTCAATTAACTATTTTTGGGTTAAATCATAATTGAGCATGGAGCGGCAAATCGGATTCAAATCCAGCAAAAATTCTGACATATAATTAAGATGCCATCAAGAGTTGATTATGGTCTTGTCATGATAATAAATGTCTAATTAATAATTTAGATAACATTTCGGGCCTAAAGAAAGACCTGCAATAGGTCGATTTAGATCATGCATAATGTATGTTTAATAGATAGCTGAAATAATATAGATATTATGTTGTAATATATGTGGTATATATGTTGTAATATATGAGGTAAATGTTGTAATATATGAGGTATATGTTGTAATATATGAAGTATATTTACTTACATATGTTGTAATCTATTTAATTCTTTACAATCTTGAACTGTATTAGCCTCATTCTCACCATGTACCAATAAACTCTCAGGATCTTTTATCTCTAATAATTCAAACCTTGAATCTTCACTTTCACCTGTCATTTTACCTATATTCTAAACAACAATTTTACAAATAAAACATATTCTAAACAACGATTTTACAAATAAAAAGTTTCAATTTTTATATTGAAAGTAAAAAAGAAGAAAATAAAAAATTAATTGGCTTGTGAAACACCACACCACAGTACTTAGCAGAGATGGAATTTCCAATTTGTCTACAGGAGAGAGAGATGGGGTTTAATGTTCACTCGACACACAAACCAGGTCATTTCGGGACTAACATATGGTTCAAAATTATTTCAATAATTTGCTTACACGTAGGGGACTTTAGCACTGGCAGGAAACCGGAGGACCCGGAGAAAACCCAATAGGTTGGACAGGCGACCCTACTCCTTGTCACGTACAAGTGCTGGAACAATATATATCGTTGAATCGATGTATCACCCTCTCGTGATTCGTGTATTGAATCGCGAAACACTGAATCAATTTGTCATGATTCTTTTTTTGTCACTTTAGCAATTAACCTGTCACTCTTAATTATCCACGTCAAACATTATGCATAGGTACACAAACACCCTTAAATTGTTTTGGTCCTTATTTTGATCCACATCATTTCTACGACATCGCAATACATATTTTATCATACTTGCATTGCAAATACCCAGCACTAGACCAAAGGAGAAAACCCCCGGGGTTGGACAGGCAATTCTACTCTTTTTCATGCACAAGTTGGAAATTGAAACCACCCAACTGGACTCAATGACAGACCTTGTGATTTCACTGCACATTAAACCAATAGCCCACCCAACCCCCTGATTGGGCTGAGGAAAGAGAAGAAATAGAGTTCATTGTCTCGTCAACACAATACTTTGAATGAAATGGGGTTTGAAATCCTACTATTCTGTTCCAACTAGGCTAATGAAGATGGGCATACACCATACAGTGTGCTATGAGGAGCATTTCACCTGGACAGTGGCACTACGGCCCACTCTTACATCAAATTCCAATTGTCAAGGAATCTTTTATGTTCACGTTCATGAGCCTTTTTTTTATGTCCCATCCAAAAGACTAGACAGCTGTCCTTGTCAGGCCCTCCTTCCTGCACCTCTAACAAGGGGAAACCACATCGGAAAAATCCCGGTGAAATTTCTCTGCCAATACCGGGAGCGAACCCGCGACCACAATGATTTCATCATTTTGGGACTTCTGTCACGTTATTTTATCCTATGATGTCTACAATGATAGTGCTCGGAAGGAGAATGTCCGCCTATTCTTTAAGGCTTCCTTTTATGGGCACACCGGAAAATGTGTTTCTTCTGAGCTGATTCTAGGATTGAACCCAAAACATTTCATTCGATGATTCCTACCTGGAAGAACTGCTTTCTGGTAAAAACTGTAATTTCCTGTGTATATTTTTCTTCCGTTTGATAATAATCTTCAAGATTAACTTGTGATAAAAAGACTTCTTCATGTTGACCTTCACCTTTAGTTGCTGGGTTATAAAGGGACGTTACTCTAGATACTGATTTCATTAATCCATCCATGCTCTCATTAACCTAATGAAGATAGAAATAAACTGTTTAATATACACTTATATACACATGACTTCTAAACAGAAATAAACTAAAAGTGGTTTCTGCACAGACAAAAAACATAAAAACAGGAACAAACCATGGACAGTGGGCACCACAGTCTACTCTTATTTCTTGTATGTCAAATCCGAAAGACTCTGTTCTGTGCTGTGACAAGGAAGAAACCATGAGAGTCCATTCATCACAAACTAGGTCATTTCAGAACCAACATATGGTTCAATTTCATTTCAATAATTTACTTGCTTGTAGGGGTCTTTGGCAGTGGGAGGGAACCGAAGGACCCAGATAAGTGGGGAATCGAAACCACCGCAGTTGACTCAATGACAGACCTAAAGACCTACTTTAATATTATCTGTTTGAAGTTGGTCTTGGTGTTGTCTGTATTGTTTTTTAGCTTGACTTTCTAAAGGAGTTAATTTGGTTAGTTTATGACTTAGACTTGTATGATGAACACTGAAAAATATAATCACACAAATATTTATTTATTGATTCATTTTTTATCCACATAAAAACTGCACTGGATTATTTAACATTTAATTAAAAGAGAGATGGGGATTAAAGTCTAGTTGACACAAACTAGGTCATTTCGAGACTAACTTATTGCAATAATTTGCTTGCACGTATCGGTTTTTAGCAGTGGGAGGAAACCAGCAGATTCGGAGAAAACCCAGTGAGGAATCTAAACCACACCACATGACTCTGTGATCCAACAGGCCGGTGTTAACCATTCGACCCCCCCCCCCCAATCCAACCGTAGATAACCTCCTCTGGGTTGGATTAAACTGGATTAACAGGAGGCCTATCAAAAGATATAACCAAACAGGGGATTCAATGTCCTGTATATATCATCTTCAAAGGATGCTGAGTGACTGTAGAAAAATCTCAATTCATCATAATATATTTAAGTGGGGAGGCTACCCGAAAAATGTTCTTTTTAAATTTTAAAGCTATTGAACTGAAAATGGTACAAGTAGTTAGGAAATGTGATAAACAAGGGAAAACTAACATTTAAAAAAAAGGTGTTGTCAGGGTAACACATATTTTTGGAAAAAATATGAAAAACGTAGGTACATTATATCTCTGGCACTAATAAAGATAAATGGACTGCTTATTCTATAATGATAACCTTAAAACCAGAGTTTTTATCTATATTTTTTATAGTTTCTTGGACAATGGTGTTTAAAACATTTACCTCACCACAATATTTTGTCTTTGGAGAAATATTTTGATAACTTTTGAAATATTAAATATTATTCAGTTTGCTTTCTGTCTGATTCATAAAAAGTTAGTAACTTACTACGTACACCAAGAGTCTATAAAGTTGCCTACATGTTTGGTGAAACAAAACCCAGACCATTAACAATTCTAACAGTAACATCAATTAGAAACACAATTTATATGGAAAACAATCACTGGTTTATACACATATAGCTCGATGTTTCGACTAGTATTCTCTTATCGTTATCAAGTACAAATGATAATTAGTAAACTAAAAGGTAATATTTATAGTCATACAAAAATAAAGATTATAAACATGAATTATACGCTAGCAAAGACTGCATGATTTACAACTAAAAATCAACAATCAATTATGAATAAAAGATAAAAACCTCAATTTATTTCTTCTCTGTATCAGTGTCTCTTTCTTCTTTTTACTCATCTCTAATTCTTTTCTTAATCTCGAAATATCATCACTTCAAAAAAAAAAAAAAAATATCTGGTTTACAAAAAGACTTTCTGTGTAGCTCTGTATACATTTACAAAAATCATTGAAAATCATTGAAATTAGAGAGAGAGAGAGAAATGGGGTTTAACCTCCACTTGAGACAAACTAGGTCATTTCGGGACTAACATAGTTCAATTTAATTTCAGTAATTAGCTTGCGTGTAGGGGTCTTTAGCAGTAGGAGGAAGCCGGAGGACCCGGAGAAAACCCATGAGGTTGGACAGGCGACCTACTCCTTGTCACGTACAACCGGGGAATCAAAACCATGCCAGTTGACTCAATGACAGACCTTCTAATCCAACGTGCATGCATTAACCATTCGGCCATCCAACCCTGTCTGAGGGCTGGGAATAACAAACACATAAAAAAATGTGGGTAAAACTAACCTCAAAGATTCCTCTGTGATTTCAGTCTCATTATTTACAACTTCCATTTTTTTCAGAGCATCCTCGAGTTGTCTTCCATCTAATAAACCTTCGGTTGATTTGGACTCCAGGTCCTTATACCTGACAAAACATCAAATAAAATGAAATGGGGTTTAACGTCCTACTGTTCTGCTCCGACTGGGCTAATAAAGACAGGCAAACACCATACAGCGTGCTATGAGAGAAATTTCGCCCGGACAGTGGCACTACGGCCTTCTCTTAAATAGAATTCCAACCAAGGGTTCTTACATGTGCCAGCCAATGTGTACACAGGACCTCGGTTTTTCCGTCCTATCCGAACGACTATACATTGTCCCTTGCCCTCCATCCTGCATTACTGACAAGATGGAACCACGTCGGAAAATCCCAATGAACTTTCACGACCAATGCAGGGATCGTGCATGGGACGTCCAGGTTAGCTAGCTAACATCTTACTCACTGAGCCACCGTGGCTCAGTATTTGTATATGAATAGAGATTGGAGTACAGACATATTGTAAGACAGGGATATTTCACGTCATCCAGCGATACTTACTCTTGTCGGTCGCTTGCTGTTATAATATTATCAGAATGAACATTGTTCACAAACCAATCAAGAAAAGGTACAATACTCTCTTTTTCAAACAACCAATCAAACATCTGCGGATCTAACTCATCAACCTTGGGATACCCCAACTGACGTAAAGTTTCTAAAATCTGTCTTCCACTCATTCTACTACTTCTGAAATCAACAAATACATGTATACAGAAATGGGGTTTAACATCCTACTGTTCTGTCTGAGGACTTGTATACAAAATGACATGAGATTTCATTGAGATCCTACTTTTCTGCACCAACCATGTCTCATGAAGGTATACATGAGACAACTTATCCAAAGACAACTCATCCCAAGTCAACTCATCCCAATAAAAGACAACTCATCCAAAGATAAAAGACAACTCATCCCAACTTTAAAACATGGGTCGAGATATAAGACAACTCATCCCAACAAATGTAAGTGCTAGTTATATTTGTTTTTATACAATTGCTTTCTTTGAAGACCACTCAGACCATTCTGATTTTGTTATAAAAATATGTTATCTTAACATCCACTCGATACAAACTAGGTCATTTCGAGACTAACATACGGTTCAATTTTATTTCAACCAGAGGATGCGGAGAAACCCCATACAAGCTGGATATTGAAACCACTCCCTTGACTCAATGACAGACCTTATGATCTAACGTACAAGGGTTAAACCATACGGCCACCCAGTCCCCATAAATTTACATACAACCTAACTATTATTGTTACTGAGTTATGAGTAAACTTGTATTCATACTAACTATAGGCAGGATTGTTAACCCTTCTTTCTTTTAAATCAAATCAACCAGCATGCATCTCAGTTTATATTATGATTCAATCATAGCAAACATTTAGTATATATAGAGCGAAGCTCTAAAGAATCGCGCAAAGCTCTTTTCCGGTAACACAGGAGCGTAACTAAATCTGCCCCACAGACTGTTGATTAAAAAAAAAATTCAGACCGGAACCGGATACACTGGGCAAAAATAGCAATGCGCATGCCAACTTACCAAATCTCGCCCAAGCGAGATTACGCGACTCATAGAAATATTTTTATGACGCGTTTAATCAATGACGTTATATTATATTTCTGACGCCAATGAAAATAATTCTCACATTTTTGTTCTTTTTTTTTTAATCATACAATTTCGATCTAAATTAAATTCAATTCGGAAAAACGAGATTATTTAACATTACTTGTATCACTTGAAAAACTTAATTATGATGGTTTTATATTTAACAACAATCACACCAGCTTCGCTCTACTCGGGCAATGCCTGTTACATATTAATAAGTAGAGTGAAACTATTTCAGTACAATCCAAAGTGTATTAACAGGGCGAATCAACCCGCCAAGATGACGAGGTTACCGTTCGTGGGACTAGTGTATAAGCAACGATCAGTTTGTTACTTTGCACTTGCAGGTTTTTGTTTTTCTTGGAGGAGTTTTATACTCCTACATTTTACGGTCTTAATGTCAAAACTCTAGGCCCTAGTTATCTTAAACGAATCATATCTAATTGCTAACATAGATCTAGATATATGTTAATGTTTTCAACACTAAAATGAAAGAAAAACATATCAAAAAAGTATTTTGTTTTCATTACTGTCAACTTGCTTTCAGTTTGTTTTGGTTATGGCGCGCTTCCGGTGAATGTTGCTTCCGGAAATTCTGTCCTATTCATTGATTGGTTAGATTCATTTTGACAAACCAATCGACGGCTCTCTACAATCTGAATGTTGAAGCGCGTAATGCAAATGGCGGCGAATTGACAGTTTCGTTTGCAAATTCGCTATGGCTTTACGATTGGTAAGACAAATAATGAATATAACTGAATAAGAGTTGATTTTGACAAAGGGTATTATAAACTCTGTCGTTCGACGAAGCTTTGTGTCACAAACATCGTGTTTTTTGTTGTACATTTGCATTAAAGCCCACCACCCAATCCAACCCAAATTCACAAATTGGCCAAAATTCCTTGCCAAAAGTATAGACCTAACCGATTTTGATCTTTCAGAAAAAAAAAATACAGGCCTATATCAGATTTATACTCTATTTATTTCCTTAGAATTTTATCAATGAATTATACAACAAGACGATATTTTGGAAAATATGTGGATTTAATTTAAAAAGAGAATGCCTGGTGGGCTGGATGATTTAGTGGTGAAGCTGAAGAGGGGTTTTGGTGGCCAAATGTCAGAAATCATTTATTGTGTGTGCTTTAGAACATTAGGTCTGTCATTGAGTCAAGTAGCATGGTTTTGTTTCCCCGCTTGTATGTGACAAGGAGTAAGGTTGTCTGTCCAACCTTATGAGTTTCCTCTGGTTCCTCCCAGTCCCAACAGTAGGACGTTAAACTCCATTTCATTTCATTTCCTCCCAGTCCCACTGCTAAGGACCCTTACTCCAAAAGTGCATTATTGAAATAAAATTAAACCTTATTTTAGTTCCGAAATGACCCAGTTTGTGATGAGTGGCTGTTAAACCCAATTCTCCCTCATACAATTTACAACACCCAAAACTAAATAAATACTACCAGTCTACATCATAGACCTACGATACCAGTACCTGATTATTGTGAAAAACTAACAGAATACTTTTAAATAAAGATACTATTTTTTTAGAGATTTAGTTAAAGAGGCATTATGGGAAATATTATTAAAGTATTTTGTCATTTTTTAACAATAATGAGGTAGATTTAGATTTTAATTCGTCCAGCTGACAACTGGTTATTCAGATAGACTTTGACAAGGCTTTTTCAAAAAAGGGGCATTAAAAAACCCAAACCCAAAACAATCAGTTTAAATGAGATAATTTTTTGATAACATCACCAACTTTTATGGCTAAGAAGTTACTGTCTTGAAATAATGATTTGAGTTGATAAAAATATCTGCCAGACAAAATGACAGGCACCAGGGTTTGTGCTCAATGTCTGTGACCGGATGCCTTATATACAAGGCTTACAACTTCTTATTTAAAGGCTCCTGGTAAGATTGTTACATTTGATAGACATATTCGTATTGATTGTTGTTTTGTGATAATTTAATAATAATTCAGTTAGCCATTTAAAATTCTTGTATTATTTAATTTCAGAGACGAGGTAACTGGAAAAGAGGAGTTCTCGTAAACCCTTTAGGGGGTCGTGATATAGGAAGGTAATCATCATTATATATTGTCCCCCAGATTTTTAAAAAAACAAGGGGACTATTAAAATGGGTCCGTCCGTCTGTCCGTCACACTTTTTAGGAAACAATAGCCAAACTCTCCTTGGTGTAGGTGTTTAGACTGTAATCTGGGTATCATGTAATCTTGTGTATTTAGCACTAACTTCTTTCACATTCATTCAATATCAAATCATTGTTTAAAAATTAGTAAAAATCGTTTAAAATTACCAAAAATCTGATTTGTTCTTGTGTCTAGTTTAAAACTGACCATTCAATTTTGATAATGACTAAATGAGTGTTCAATTTACAAGCGTTTAATTTTTCGATCACTGTTAACAAATAAACAACACAATTGATTACTGATGTATAATGATTAATTTTTTAACAGTGGTCAGGAAATTAAATACTTGTAAATTGGACACTCATTATCAGTGTTATTAGGTCAATGCCTTGATGGGGTTCGAAGATGAGCATTTTTCTGCTTAGGTAGAGCAGAGATGAGCAATTTGATTGGTTGCTGCTTTGGGACATGATAACTTTAGTTCTTATTAAGTGAGAGTGAGGAAACTTGGTGCATAGTTTCATTATATCTATACCTTGACTAAGTTCGATATTGAGCATTTTCTGCTTAGACTAAGTAGTTCATACTTTTAAAAGTTCAATCTGGTTAGTCGAGACTTTGGTACACAATAACTCTTCTAAATTAGATAGAATGTTAAAACTTTGTATAGGTGTTTATTAGGTGAATGCCTTGACAGTGTTTGACCATGCATATTTTCTACTACGGCTAAGCAGAGATAAGCGATTTGATTGGTTGAGATTTTGGAACACGATAATCGTTTTTTTTAGAAACATTGCATATACCCACCATACCTTCGCTATACTGTATTATAAGGTGTGTGTTAATGGCTTGAGTAAATTAATTATATCATCAAGATGTCAGTTTCCCCATAGTGTACATGTCACCGTGGTTGATAAAACTTTGAACCTTGTATAAAGTTGTTTTGACAAAAAGACAGATGATGCTTTTGATTTTAGATAAAATCTAGTAATGGGACAGATTTAAATCATTTAATATGAAATTACTAAAAAGATTATGTGCATCAATTTTAGAAAGAAGAAAAAAAAGAATAATTTGTTGGCAAATGTATCAGTCACCGTTAGTCTCATGTTCATGGTATTAAACAAATCAAGAAAAACTTTGCCTCCATGAAATTCAGGCTGTGATTTGTCCAGACCTGGAAATAAAGGTTTTAGATGTACCTGACAAAATGTCAGGCACTTGAAATAATACCTGACATTTTCAACTAAGTGCCAGACCTGTATTAATAATATTAATAAAAAAGATAAATCAGTGTCATACAAAATGACAGGCACCAGAGGTTTTGTGCTTGACAAAGCCTGAATCTGTGTCTGACATTGTCTGTGACAGGTGCCTTATTTCCAGGCTTGGATTTGTTAGACTTACATAGATAGCCCACATATCATTTTTTATGTCGATTTAAATGATTTATTTTTAGGCATACAGGTAAAAATGTAAAAGAAGGTAAAAATATTCGAGTTACTGATGATGGATATGAATGTTTTGATGATTATTTTTCTGCATCAGGTAAGAATTGAATGTAATTTATAATTGACTAGAAGAATGCCCGGCTTCGCTCGGGGGTCATAACCCCGAAACCGGAAGTGGTAGACTAACGCCACCTGGCCTATGTTACTCCCCGGTCCGAGCTACCCCTATACCCTAAATTTCAGACTCGGGGCAGACCTAGTGTAGCCGCCAACCCCGAACAAACAGACAAACTTCACAAATATTAGTATAGATTGATGGGTTTAAAGTCTTACTGTTCTTCTCTGACCGTGATAATAAAGACAGGCATACGCCATACAGTGTGTTAGGAAGGAAATTCTGCTAAAACAGCGGCGCTACAGTCTACGATTTATGATAACCAAAATTCTCTTATTTTAGAAAAAATATATACATGTAGCACTTAGCCTCAGTGTGTCAAATGATCATGCTACATGTATGTTTTTAAGTAGCCAAGTCTTTAACTCAATATCATCCACAGTCTTCGACATTGGTACATGTATCATGTACCAGAATGCATATCAGCGCCATTTGTAACAAGGGAGTCGAAGAACAAGGCTCGATATATATTCCACAAATCATGTCAAACAGTGACGCCATATGCTTATCTGAAGAGCATGCGCAATAAATACATCCAGTGAAATAATTTAACTGAACTTTTCAGCATTATACAGCTTGTATTACATTACTCCCTTCTAGCACCAGTCCTTCTCAATTCATAGTATGTAGCAGATGAGATATGATGTTTTGAAAACTAATTTATTTTCTAGAGGCCGAATCAACATTAGAAATAACGTTACATAAATCGTTAAGATCAAGTAAGAATAATAGAGGTGTTTTATCAGATGTTGAATCAAATGTTACTACAGCTGTTTCACGAAAAAAGAAGAAAAGGGTAGGCATAATCACAATCTCATTAAAACACAGATCCTGTTTCGTTTCGTTTTTTTATAGTTCAATGTTTCGTTTTATTGTCTGTACTACACTAGGATCTGGAGGAGTTGTTATCATTGACATGTTCTGGTTGATGTGAGGGATTAGCCAATGAAACCATCTGTTACAGCGACTTCTTGGCGTGCGATGCATGGAACTGTGTGAAAACCACTAGAAACATCAACGCTATTTATCAACTTCTGACGTCATAGGGTAAAAATCCACTCGCATGACCTCTGACGCGACCCACCACTGCAACCGGTCAGATCTTCATGTAGTAGAGGCCATCAAAAGTATAAAAAAACAAAATGAAATATAGATCTGTATTTTAATCGGATTGATGTAAGATTTGAATGAGACTAGAAAAAAAGAAAGGTCGATCCCTGCGTACATCAAACACAGCCATTAGTAGCTTCATTACAATAAAGATCAGTTGCAATTAAAATAAAATTCTCTCACTTGAATTGTACATACAGCCATAGAAATAAAATTAATCTATTTTGACAAGTCATTAAACCCCAGTAAAAGTGTATCATGGATGCAAGCCATGAGTTCGATCCCATGCGTTACATGTAAATAAACAAGTGAATAAAGATATGTATATATTAACAGTGTGTTTATGTTTTCAGAGTCCAAGTCTTCGACTAGGTAGAGATATAGGATGGTAAGTTAGTTACCTGTATAAGTGGGTAAGATGCTGGCTCACTAGCCTGAAGGTCGCGCGTTCCATCCCTGCATTGGCCGTGAAAGTTCATCAGGATTTTTCCGACGGGGTTTCCCCTTGGTGGTGCAGGATGGAGGGTCTGACAAGAACAGCTGTCTAGTCATTTGGATGGGACGGAAAATTGAGGTCCTGTGGACACATTGGCATGCGCGTAAAAGATCTCTTGGCAGCTGGAATTTGGTATAAGAAAAGGCCATAGTGCCACTGTCCGGGTAAAATTTCCCTCATAGCACACTGAGTGGTGTAGGCCCGTCTTCATTAGTCCAGTCAGAGCAAACAGTAGGACGTTAAACCCCATTTCGTAAAATGCCAGTCATGTAATAAACAGTGACAGTTATCATTCGTGATGTAATGTAAAGTTAACCATTGAAATAAGGTGTTAAAATGGACTGAAATAATATTAACAATCATCTATTTTAGGCGAACTCTGAGGAATGTTAGAGAAGGAAAGAATATCAGAAAAGATGCAAGTGGATTTGAAATATTCGATGACTATTTCTCTGACACTGGTGAGATTTTTTACAAACTGTTCGGCCAAAAACAAATGGGTTCTGTTTTTAGGTTGTTTTTTTTTTAATTATTACATTAGATCTACCATAGCATAATATTCTGTGCGAAAATTTTCAAATTTTACATGTGTATGTTAGGTTGAGTCGGTGTCGTGGAACAAGAAATGCAATTAGATTGGTGGATGGAGTTCTTGGATAATTGTTTAAATTGTATCAGAGGTTACATTATGATTTAAATGTACTCGCATATTCCGATCGGTAAATGCAGACTCAAAGAACGATGACATTGGCATGCACGTAAAAGATCCCTTGGCAGTTGGGATTCGATATAAAAGTTGGCCATAGTGCCGCTGCCTGGGCAAAATTCCCTCATAGCACACTGTATGCCTGTCTTCATTAGCCGAGTTAGAGCAGAACAGTAGGAAGTTAAAACCCATTTCATTTCACATATTTCATTACAAAGCCACATCTTTAGTATTCTGTAAAATAAAACATTATTGACTTAGAATTTGATATATTTATATTACAGAAGCGGAGAGTTCATTATCCTCACTATCAATTACTACTGGACTCCAATCATTGGTAAGTTTTTTATAAACCTTCTTGTCTTTGTTGGTTGGTGAATCAGCCATAATGGTTTTAACCAGAAGTAATATTAGGTCCATCTTACCATCCTCTACTACAATTTCTAAATTAACACAATATATAAATATCCAATTTCTCTTTCATCTTATTTCTATTATTACGACCAAAAATGTCTACTTCATTGACACTTTACATGTTTAGCATGAAACACAAACAAAGTCCTACCCAGCAACCATCATCATGAAGTCGTTTGGTGTCGCCACTGTGTGCTCAATTTGGTCTGGTTGATTGCTAAAATGCTATGTGAAATAGACTATACAACATTTGTTCATATTTATACGCCCACATGGAAATATGAACGTATATTGCTGTCCCGCCCGTCCGTCCGTCCACTATACAACATTTGTTTATTTTCTATTGAAGACGAGCAGAATTTGGAGAGTATTATTTGATTTTTTTTTTACTGTTGAGCCAATTGATATTTATATACTGTTGATCTATATTCTATTATAGCTCTAAAAATAAAAATGTTACGTTATAATAATAAACATTTTCTTGTAATGGTTCAAAGATATACTGATTAAAACCCCCAAATATTCTTGATGAAATTAGATTTTTCTGTGCCATCTGGACTAATAAAGGCAGGTTTATGCCACACAGTGTACTGTGACGGGCAGAGATTTATAATATTACTGCCATTATTAGTTACACCCCTATGTATCGATTAATACAACTTAAATAATATGATCGGAAAAAACTACAATGACTTTGTCAGGTAGATATAATGCAGGTATCAGAAATAGAAACTTCATTGCGATTCGCATCAACAGATAATCCTGGTTTCCTCTAAAGGGCTGTTTCATTCCATATTGGGGTTTCTTTGGCTCTAGTAACGATAATATTTATATTGCTCTTTGTCGACACGACACATGTCTGCTTAAAGTGTATAAACTACATTCACATGAAATTACATTGGTAAGTTGGCAACATGGTAATTTGATTTTGCTGTAGCCATTTTTTTTTTCTTCGGCTTTTAACTCAGCTTTAGGGTGGTTGGATGACCAAATGTTTAGTGCATGTGCATTGTGTCATAGGGTCTGTCATTGAGTCAACTGGCATGGTTTCCATTCCTCGGTTGTACGTGACAAGGAGTAGGGTCGCCTGTCCAACCTTGTGGGTTTTCTCTGGGTACTCCCTTTTCCTCCCACTGCTAAAGACCCCAACGTGCAAGCTAATTATTGAAATAAAATTGAACCATGTGTTAGTCCCGAAATGACCTAGTTTGTGTCGAGTGGACATTAAACCCCATTTCTCTCTCTCCCTCCCCTTTAACTCAGTTTTAAATGTCAGCCATGGTTAATTTCAAGCGGTGTAAATACGAAATTATATCTGATTTGTTGGTCATTTCAGACATCAAAGACTATTGATAATGACATCACAAATGGAGAAAATGAAGTTGATGAAAACGGAGAACAGCGACAGGATGAAGATGACCTTGAACCTGCTGCAGAACCAAACGTGGATCATAAAAATGGTGAAGAGGGAATTCAGAAAAGTATGTTGGATGGAGATCCAAATGAAAAGTGTATATCGATCGTGGATGAGGAAGATAAATCGGTTGAGGATGAGGAAGATATATCGATCAAGCATGAGGAAGATAAATTGGTTGATGATGAGGAAGATAAATCGGTCAAGAATGACGAAGAAACGAATGTCGAGGAAACTGATGATAAAAATCAGTCTGTTGTCTCCACAAAGTCCCAAAAAGACGAGACCTTTACCGAACAGGACCTGACTGATTCCGATCAACCCGAGACGAATCATTCACAAACGGACGAAGATGTTCAGTTTATGGATGATGAAAGACGAGATTATTTGAGGAGGAAAAGTCGATCAGAAAAAACGATAAATGTATCGTCCGTTTCTTTAAAAGATGGTGACAATTACAGTTACAGAGAATATCAGGTATATTTCTGTATATTTTTTATCAGGTAAATTGTAACAAACCTTGACGTAATGAAATACAAAGGTGGGGCAGGGGGAGGAATCAAATTAATTCTTTTACAGTTTTTATCAGTTAAATTGTAGCAGACCCTTTCGGCAAGCAAAAACAAGGAGAATCATTCTCTTACAGTTGTATTTGATGTAGCTTATACCCTACATATAAGGCTCTCATATTGTACAGCCTACATAGCAAGGCTGTCATATAAATCATATTGTACAGCCTACATAGCAGGGCTGTCATATAAGTCATATTGTACAGCCTACAGTCTTGACTTACGGGTACTAAAATTGACTGGCTTATTTAATAAGATAAAATATTAGAAGACAATAAATAAATACAGTTCAATTTATAGTTTGAAATTGGGTCAATCAGATTCAAACACAGATCCTATTTCATTTTGTATTTTATAGTTCAATATTGTGTTTTACTTGCCTTCACTAGGATCTGGAAGAGTTGTTATTTAACACGTGTTCTGGTAGATGTGAGGGATAAGTCAAAGAAACAGTCTGTTGTGGCGAGTTCTTGTCGTGCAGTGCACGGAACTGTGGGTAGACGTTCACAGTGAAGACAAAGCAAAAGTTGTATTTCAAAATACCCCCTGAAACATCAATGCTGATTGATTAATCAAATGTCTGACATTATAGGGTCAAAAGCTGTTGTATTACCCTGACATGACCTCCCACTACAAGCGGTCCCTTCTTCATGTAGTAAAGGCCATCGAAAGTATAAAAAATGAAACAAAACATAGATCTGTATTTTAATCAGATTGAAATTGGGATGAATCTAAAAATTGTAATATTCTGTTGAAAATATATCTTGCTTATCTAACAAATATGTCAAACCTTGAACAGCATTGTTTATTACAAACTCAACGTCCAATATAAATTTGCAAGAAAATAATTAAAGCCCAATATTTTCTTTTAAACTCTAGTTGAGTCGAATTTATGGTTGATTTATGACTTTAAATTTGCAGTCAATTGATTTCATGAATAATATCATGTAAACTAATTGCTGTAAAATTTGACACATCATTACCTTGGCGGAAAAATCTGATTTGATCACTGGTCCTGTTTTGTTATTGTTTATGAGAACGGCAATAAAGTGGATTATTTGAAAATTTGATCTAATTATAACTTGTATTTCTATTTCAGACAATATTGAAATCTTCTAGGAAGAGTAATTTTGTTAAATTAAGCCAGACACTACCATCTGTGATATCATATTTTCCCGATGGGACCCCATCTGTTGATGACGATCCAGATAACGTCACTGATATTGTTGTAAAAGATCAAACTCTGTTATCGGTTGCAGCAGAAGAACAGACGCATGAATCTGCTGTGACACGAGAAATGATCCAAACACAATCAGGGATCAATACAGGAGGTGAATTAACGGGTTCAATTACTAAAGATGATGCTGCGAAGAAAAGTTCACCAATAAATTCCTTTAAAACTAAGAAACGGTTAGTCACTGTTTTATCATTAAACATACATTGTAGCCCAAAATGGAAATTTCTTGGATTCTGATTGGTCGAAAAGTGGCGTCGAATGAGTATAACAGTCCTCTAAATTTCCTGGGCGACTCACTGCGAATGAATATTTTCTGTGTGCTAGACTCTGTTTGCAGTGGCCAAAAATTCTACACCTCAAAACTTTATTCTAGGAAATCTTCATGAATTTTTTCTTGTATGTCATCAACAATGAAATTCAACCATTGGCTTATTGAAACACACACCTGAAATACAAAAAACAAAGATAGTGAGTGTATTTGAATCATAATGGGTAAATTTCATTTCAAGGCTGGTCTGACCATAATGGTTGCTATGGTCATTCTATCATAATCAGACTGGTCAAAATCGAAGATTTTCAACAAGTCAATAAAAATACTATAATTTATTGAACTCCGTATGGAACGTAAATAACTGATTGGGATATGTTTTAAAAAATATACAAGTCGGGCTGACACTGATATGAATAGGACAGAGACTAATTTTCATACACAACACAAGCCAGGGTTTTTTGCGAAGAAAAAAAAATCACAGCGTCGAAATGACAACGTAAACAAGCATAGCAACCACGCGGTACGCTACACAGCATATATCTACACGGTCACACGAGTGTATGGACATTTATCAAACATGATATGCAATTATTTCGAACCTAGTCACTGCTGGAGTTAAAAATCATTTAAAAAGTACTTAAAATACACTTACAATTTCTGTTTCGATCTTTAAAATTATCGCAGAGTGACCTCCCTTTCCAAACAGACACAATTAACCAGTCGCTTAGTGAACCAAATAGAATGGAAATGAGTGTTATTTTATTACGTCACAGATATTTTCATTAGGTCAAAATTGTTTTCCTTGGTATTTACGTCATTAAAACCAAAAAACGACCGTCAACTATCGCGAAAGAAAGAATTCCAAGAAAAATGTTAAATATTTTGGGCTACAATATCGATAAACACCTCCTGTTTAGAATTTATCGGACTGTTATTGTCCATTTGATACCGCTTAAATTTTTCATTAGAGGCGCTCGATCGCTACGCGATCTCGGTCTCTAATGATTTAAGCGGTATCAAATGGACAATAACAGTCCTCTAAATTCTAAACAGTCGGTGTTTATCTCCTAATTATACAAGAGGTAAATCTGCCTATTGCAGGTCTTTCTTTAGGCCTAAAATGTTATCTAAACTATTAATTAGACATTAGATAACTTATCCAGATTATAATCAACTCTCGATGGTGTCGGATTTCTCCGATATTAAATAGATTAGAACAGTTCAGCCATATTTTGATTTAAGCTAAAAATGGAGGAGCGAGATTTAGCTTCGAACAACCACTACAGTGGTTGAAATTATTGCACACATCTTCTCAAACCTTCAAAGGCTAATATCTTCGCTGGCAATAGAGTAATTGGAATGAAATTTTCAAATTATTTATTTTACATTATCTATTTTCGAACTATTATAGCAAGAATGGCTAGCTCTTTATTTGTATCTTTAATAAAGCATCGCATATCTTTAGACATTTCACAGCTGTTTTAAACAAAATGAAATAAAATTAAATTTCTGTTGATCATGTTTTCAGTTTGTCGTATTCTGGTGAAAGTTTTATAGAATCAACAAATGATAATTTAAACCAGTCAAAATACAGGTAATTATCTATTCATTATGCCGATATATCCAACTACATTTTGGTAGAAATAAAATGGGGTTTGACGTTCTACTGGGTGGGAGGGGGAATGGCATAGTGGTCTAAAGTGTCGCGCTTTGAGCTCTAGCTGGCTGGTCACCTCTGGCTTGCGGTCGTGGTTTCAATGCCTGGTGTAAGCTTATGTGGATTGGAGATAGGGCCGCCTTCTGAACTTTGTAGGTTTACTCCATGTACTCCTGTTTCCTCCCACAAGAAAGACCCCTACATTTGTGCTACGATAATAAAAATGAAAATAAGACAACTTGTCTGCAATATCACCTTGGGTGGAAGCGGACGTTAAACACTGAGAACAACAACAACGTTCTACTGTTCTGCTTCGACTAGGCTAATGAAGACTGGCAATATGCCATACAGTGTGCTATGAGGGAAATTTTACCCAGACAGTGACACTCCGGCTACTTTTATTTAATTTCAAATCTTTGTTTAAAATTTGTAAAAATCATTTAAAATCACCCCAAATCATTTAATTTGTACTTGTGTCCAGTTAAAGCTGACTGATTAATTTTGATAATGAGTGTCCAATTTGACCTGGGAGTATTTGGTGCTATCTCATCCATCGAACACTAACCTGGGAGTATAGGGCGCAATCTCAGCCATCGAACATGATACAGAGCTGGGAGTATTTGGCGCTATTTCAGCCATCGAACATGATACAGAGCTGGTAATGATAACAAATGTGATTATATAACTCAATATGTCCAAATTGATACTTACTACCCATTTCAATATCTCATACACTATTATTTATTTTTTCTAGGAATAAACAAACAAATAAATCTAATTTAGTTTGTTTAGAAGAAGACGTAATTTTAGACCAATCAGCTTTTCATCAACAAGTAGAAGATCCACAACAATCGGATGACACGGAAAATCTTTACGTAGTCGATCAACGCGAGCCCAATCAGGTCTATCACCTGGATGAATTGCCACGAAATGGACCACGGAGGGGACGATCTTTCGACAAGATCCCAAAAAAAATTCAACAGTCAAGAAAAAGTGAATTTAATGGTACCAATGTGTCGATATCGGTCGTGGATGAAATTCATAAAAATTTACAAATACTAAACCAGGCTTCTAGTGCTGATAGGTCATTTAACAAGGGAAGGTCGAAGAATTCTGATTCCATTGGGAATATTTCATCGAGATCTTTGAGAAAATCTACAAGGAATTCTTCGAAAAACTCTATTTCTATAAATGGGAATAATGAAGAATTAAGTGATTCGAAATTATCAAACAATCATACTGTAAATAAATCTAGAAACGTGACTAAATTGGGAACATTAATATACGATGATTTAGATAGTAGCAGTTCCGATACAAACAATAAAATTGAGCATTTGAACAAAGCAGTGGATGAAGTATCCCAAACAACTTTAGATCGCTCTCATGTCAGTAGACTTTCCAAAAGGAATAGTTCAAAACTAAATAAAAGTGGTAGTGTAATTGATAAGTCGAAGATCGATGCTTGTGAACACGCCGTCAATGGTTTAGATGATGTTTCGCAATTAGAAACAACTAATAGATCACTTAGAAGTAGTAATAGGACCTTATCTAAAAGCAATAACTCTAAATCGAACAAAAGTCTTCACAATAATTCAAAATCAATTGTAAGCTCAGAAATGTGTTTATCCGAGAATGGCGTATCTCAATTTGTGAATAAAACTTTACAAAAAACACTAGCTGATAAAGATACGTCGACATCTGGACTGCCAAGTGGCAGCTCCACAAAAAATCGTAAATCTACGAAAGAAATTGAAACGAATACGACACCTATGGATCTTACAGATGTAAAGACATTAAATAACGAAACAAGAAAAAGACAGTCAAATGACGAGAGTGATTTAGGCGTATCTGATAAAATGAAGAAATTGTCGAGTGATAAAGAAAATATTAGTAATATATCTGAAGATTCTGTGATAACGAGTAAATCCCATCGTCGTACGGTTGTTATTGATGATGATAGTGATGTCGTACCATCAGAATCAGTTTATTGTCAATCACAAGATATGTCTATACAAGAACTGGACGGTGGTCATCTGCCAGGTATGAATTTAAACTCTGTTGTCCATACCTGGAAATAACAGACAAAATGTCAGGCACCACACTGAGCCTGATAGTTTTAGACGAAGAACTGGTCCACAAGTGCTGCTCCTCTTGTTCTTGTTGTTATTTGGCCTCTTGTTCTTGTTGTTATTTGGGACGACACTCTTTGTAAAAAGCTTAAGGCTCCGTCAATTGGCAGTACAGTCGACCTGAAATGATTATTCTTTGGATAGTTATGCATGTATTGAGGGACTTTGATATATGATATGATGTACATGTATAGGAGTGAGACCAAATAGATTGTCTCTATAATTAAACCCAACAATCACCATGGATAGTTCACATTTATTTCAGCTGAAAATCATTTTCAGAACATTTCAAACTTGCATTCTCATGTGGAAAATAATAAAATGTTTAATTTAATTTATCTTTACAGCTTCTATAGCAGAATCAACTCGCATAGACGAAAGTTTTTTACGTAAAATACCTCTAGATACGCCTAAAAGTGGGGTATCGATACGTCATCGTAGATTTACTGCTGGTCGTTTATCAGCTATCAACAGTTTACATAGAACAGCTATAGAAAATAACCAGGTACAAGGTAGGCAAAAAAATCTTTTCTGTCCAATATGTGTTTATACGCCCACATTTTCATGTGGATGTATCTTGTCATCATTTGGATGGGATGAAAAACCGAGGTCCCCTGTACACATTGGCAATTGGGAGGTTGGATGGCCGAATGGTTAGCTAGGGCGCGGCGCTGTATCATACGGTCTGTCATTCGATTCCCTGGTTGTACGTGACAAGGAATAGGGTCGCCTGTAATAAAATTGAACCATGTGTTAGTCCCGAAATGACCTAGTTTGTGTTGAGTGGACGTTAAACCCCATTTCTCTCTCTCTCTCTCTCCCTTGGCAGTTGGAATATAAGAGTAGGCCATAGTGCCGCTGTGTAGGAAAAATTTCCCTCACAGCACACGTTAAACCCCATTTCTTTTCATATTTGTAGATGTGAAGCCTTGTGATATTGAAGAAGAAAGTCCAACTATAATCAGTACGGAGACAACACCTACTTTAACTCCATGCCTCGTACAACCTGGAACACTATCAGCACAGAAAAAAAATCCACGCAGTGTTTCTATAAATGTGGAATGTCAAGATTCTCCAGAAGGTATGTTAATTTGATTTTCAAGATCGGTAACAGTAATTGTGAGTCGTGTATAAACGAAATATAAACATTAGTTGATAAACATTCAAGATGGGTAACAGTGTTTGTGAGTCTTGTCTAAATGAAATATAAACTTAGTTGATAAACATTCAGGTAAATTGTTTTAGGGATCCTAATAATTAGTTATTCTACAACTCAGGTATCAGGTGTATTTTATATTAAGTTTTAAACCATTGCTGGCAGGTTGGATGACCGAATAGTTAGCACGTGTGCACTGTATCATAAGGTCTGTCATTGAGTCAACTGGTGTGGTATTGATTCCATGGTTGTACGTGACAAGGAATAGGGTCGCCTGTCCAACCTCGTGGGTTTTCTCCGGGTCCTCCGGTTTCCTCCCACTGCTAAAGACCCCTATGCGCAAGCAAATTATTGAAATAAAATTGAACCAGTCTCGAAATGACCTAGTTTGTGTTGAATGGACGTTCAACGCCATTTCTCTCTCTCTCTCTTGAAACCATTGTTGTCAAATTGTTAAAATTAGTTGAGAATTATTGAAAAATATTGAGTTCATATTGTTGTGTGGGTTGTAAGGGTCTGTCTAGATTAGATAATTATATAATGAGCGTCAGGTTTACAACCGTTTACTTCTCCCCGAGTATTGTTGAGTAACTAATTAGTTGTCAGTTACATCAACTGATTTTTCTTTGTTTTAAATGTTTTACAGTGTTCTATTTGTTTTTTAGCGACCAATAAAACTTATGGTAATTATACAGGTTCTATATGCCATTTCCAAGATGTAACAGATTCAGAATCACCGCCAATATTTAAAATGCCACAGAAATCAAAAATAAGTAAGTTTCTCATGTCAGTTATTTATAGTATCGCTTTAATTAATCTGTTGATTAACAAATCACAGGATTGCTCAGTTAAAGATACATTATGTAAGATTTAGATAAAGAGCTGGACGTTCTTGCTATAATAGTTATATTAAAGATGCATTAGGTAAGATTTAGATAAAGGACTGGTCGTTCTTGCTATAATAGTTATATTAAAGATGCTATGTCAGATTTAGTTGAAGAGCTGGACGTTCTTGCTATAATAGTTATATTAAAGATACATTATGTAAGATTTAGATAAAGAGCTGGCCGTTCTAGCTATAATAGTTCAAATATTGATAATGAAAGATGAATATATTGAAAATTTCATTGAAATTATTTTATTCTGAGTGAAGTTATGAGTGTTTGAAGATTTGACAAGATCTAGTGTAGATTGTTGATTATCATAGTAACAGTATTTGACAATTGATTTTATTGAACTGATTAAATTATTAAATCTCTCAGGTGATTGTCTAGAGAGTTGATTATAGGTTTTTCAGGTTAATAATAAATAATAGATTATATAACATTTCGAAGATAAAATAAAGACCTGCAATAGACAGATTTAGCTCTTAGTAAAAGTCTTATATACGGTAGTGTATCTACACAAACATAGGGTTAGTCACTGTAGAATCTTAGTTTTATTGCTAAGATTCTATAGTGACTAACCCTATGTTTGTGTAGTTCAAAGATACAGTAGTATTCGTCTACCGTCTCCACCTCAAATGCTGGGAATAACTCAGAATCTGAGGTGGAGACAGTTGACACGAATACTACTGTAGTTATTACTGACTCTGTCTGGGAATTAAATGTGCTTGATAGACTATTTCACAACAATCGGATTAAAATACAGATCTATCTTTCGTTTCATTTTTTTTATACTTTTGATTGCCTACACTACATGAAGATCTGACTGGTTGTAGTAAAAGGTCACACCAGAGGTCATACAAACGGCTTTTGACCCTATGTCGTTAGACATTAATTAATCTGATTTGACGCCTATATAAGCAAATGGCTGAACTACACTGTAATTGTAAGAATCTGGTTTTATACATTAACAAAGACGTCACATTGTTTGCAATAAAAACCAATGAAACATGTTGTAATAAACTTGTATTGTAGTTTACCCGGAACCAGCTCCAGAAGGGATTCGAAGATCGAGGCGTGTACGAGTTCAGACGTTAGAAAGTCATAAAATGGAGAGAATTGTTTATGATTACAGACGCAGATCAGGTAATTTATTACACACGAAGTTGATTCAACATTCTCAAATTATTTTATATCGGTCCGGGAAGTTGATTCAACATTCTGGAATTATTTTATCTTGGTACGCAAATATTGATAAAACTCAATAAATCATATGTAAACAAGAGCATCACCAGTCATCGCGTCTGAAACATGTTCCGTTGCATCTGTATTCACCTCCCAACAATACTAGGTGTTATAAAGAAAAGGGGAAGCATGGTGTCATAGGGAGAGAGACATTGTCCCGTTAACATGGAATGCCCATCTTCAATTTCAGTCTTGTTTGAGAAAGTTAACATTAATTTCGGGCGAGGTGTCCCCTTGACAATGTTTATAGACTGTTCAGATGATTTACCTGCCGTGGGTGTATGTTTTACTAGTAATTTATTTTATTTACAGGTGTACATGTAATGGCCATTCAACCTTCTAATGAAGCCAAATATTTAGCTCATAGTGAAAAACTAGCTAAAGCAAGATTAAAACGCAATAAATGTAAGTAGTTTTATTTATGAATTTAAACGTAACATGTCAGGTATATTTTTAACAGCGAATGACAGTCTTATTGACCCAAGTCCAACGAGCATGTTATACTAAGCAGGTATAGGTTCGATTTGATATAAACGATTCTATTTCAAGGACTGGTTTTATCCAATCACAGTAGCTGGTTATGGTTCCATCAAATGATGAATATAAAATAATAGAATGAAGAATTGTTTTGACTGTTTCATTATGTAGTAGATAACCACCGATTTCCAGGTTGTTATTCAAAATAAAAATCTTATAGGTGGTGCTAGCTTGTTTATATTATCTATAGATGATGTCAAATGTTGGCACTCAACAAAAGTGAACCATTTTAGAAATGAAATGGGGTTTAACGTCCTACTCTTCTGCTCCGACTGGGCTAATGAAGACGGACATAAGCCATACAGTGTGCTATGAGGAAAATTTTGTCCGGGCAGCAGCACTATGACCTACTCTTATATCTAATTCCAACTACCAAGGGATCTTTTATGTCCACGGTTTTTCGTCGAATCCAAACAACTGGACAGCTGTCCTTGTCAGGCCCTATGCAGGGAGGGGGGGGGCGATTTGGTGCGCATTGGATCAGGTCTGTCATTGAGTCAACCTGGTTCCGATATTCCCCACAAGGAGTAGGATCGTCTGTCCAATCTCATACTGTAGTTAATAATGAATATGAAATCCCTCTAGTGAAGATCAGACTTTAATTACTTGATTTATACGTTTACAGTGAAGAAGGCAAAACAAAGAAGACAAAAAGATGGTCGTAATTTATCAATGCATACTGTATTACCAGATGATTTAGAAATGACGTTTGGTCACGAACTTCCTATAATTAATCCAGAAACAAACCAAGAAGTTTTTGTCGGTAGGTATACTGTTTTTTATGTCAAGTCATCCTTGATTAAACGTGAAACCAGAATTAAAAGAGGGAAATCCTTGAATAAATGGGGTTTATTATCCTACAGATCATCCAGGCTAATGAAGACAGGTATACACCATATAGTGTGCTAGGAGTAGAAATTTAACCAGACATTCTAATTGTCAACAATTATTTTAGTCTCTAGGACTATCTATATATTACAGCTGAAGACTTTCGAAGTCGGTGGGGGTTGGATGGCCAAATGGTTAGCACGTGCACGCTGTATCATAAGGTCTGTCATTGAGTTACCTGCCGTGGTTTTGATTCCCTGGTTGTACGTAACAAGGAGTAGGGTCGCTTGTCCAACCTCGTGGGTTTTCTCCGGGTTCTTTGGTTTCCCTCCACTGCTAAAGACCCCTATGTAAATAATGTAAATAAAATTAAACCATGTGTTAGTCCCGAAATGACCTAGTTTGTGTCAAGTGGACGTTAAACCCCATTTCTCTCTCTTTCTCTCTCACTTTTGAAATCTTGTGAAGGGAATAAAATAAAACCAAGAAGTAACAATCCAAACCATCAGACAAAATTTGAGGTTCTTAAAAAAACGGCAAAATAGTGTAATCAGTAAACGAAATGTTGACACTCCAGTTAAAAAACTTGTCATATATTCTATCAATGTTTGTTCATGTTTTAGATTGTATAGCACAACAGGACAGTATTGTGTATATTGGTCCTAATGGAGAAAGTCCTAAAGCTTCCGATCCATTTGTGATGTGTCGGGCTGTAAACCAAAGATCATTTTCTGCAGGAGAAATAATATTACGAGGATTAGCCGAGAAACCATTACAGAGAATAACAAGCAGTACACTTGTAAGTTGTATATTATATACCTACCTACACGGTCAAACTACCTGTTTCATTTAGTTCCATTTACCAGGGTTTCACAGGGTGGTCATTTAACTGGCTAACTGTGTTTCATTTAGTTCCCTTTACCAGGCTTTCACATTGCGGCAATTTAACTGGCTATCTATGTTTCATTTAGTTCAATTTACAAGGGTTTCACAGGGTGGCCATTCACTAGGATGTAAAGATGGTCAAGACCAAGGTAGTTCTAGATCAGTGATTCTCAACCAGGCTCTAAGTGGACCCCTAGGGATGATTGGAGAGTGACAACGGTGGGCTGGGGTTGTTTTGTATTTTTGAGGGGTGAATGGAGTTTCTGGGGCGACCTCCGACTTAGACTCACCAATATCCAGCCCCGTATTCAGACACTGATTGAGATTCTTCAAACTCAAGGCTCCCATTAACTGTTTCTGGCTGAATGTAGCAGTCAAATATCTTGGTTACAGAACATTGTATATCAATAACATTGCTAAAGATAGTAGTAAAGAAAAAGATAAAAAGTATTTGCATGCTTAGACAATAAAACGGAGGAAGAACGAAGAAAGAGAAATAAACAGATGATCTTTTATTATTTCAGATATTTCGTATATTACATGGTAAATTAGCTGTAACTATCCATAGAAAAGTGACTGTACTGGAAACTGGTGATACCTTCTTTATACCTCTAGGTAAATATTATATCTATTTACTATTATACCTTCTTTATACCTCTAGGTAAATATTATATCTATTTATTTATACCTACTTTTTCTGGCTTCAAATGTTACATACATTATTATTTAAACATTTATTAACATGACAAGCCCATAATCTTCTCTCTAGGCTATCGGATGGCTCCAATTTTAAAAAGATTAGAACACCACGACCATATAAGAGTTTAACGATAAAAACAAAACTCAGTCTTGATTGTCAAGTACTGTTGCTACGGTAACGATAATAAACAATCTACGCAACATTTTATCAAAACTTCAAACTCTAATAACTTCACACAGAATAAAGTAATATGAATGAAATTTTCAATATATTCATTTTGTATTATCTATTTTTAAACTGTTATAATAAAAACTGTTTTTTGATTGTTTCATAGAATCAACCCAAGTGCCAATGAAATAATCAAGGGCAGATAATTAGAATTTGTGAAAACCCTGTGAATGGACCCAGGGCTTTCACAAATTCAAATTTTCTGCCCCTTGATGATTTCATTGGTACATAGGTTGATTCTATGAACCAATCAAGAAGTAGTTTACATACCAGTCTTAGCATAATTGTTAACGTTCACCACAATAAAGCAGTTCGATTGAGTTGCGGGGGTTGGATGGCCGAATGGTTAGCATGTCCGCGCTGTATCAAAAAGCCTGTCATTGAGTCAACTGGCGTGGATTCGAATCCCCGGTTGTTCGTGACAAGGAGTAGAGTCGCCTGTCCAACCTCGTGGGTTTTCTCCGGGTCCTCCGGTTTCCTCCCACTGCTAAAGACCCCTACGCGCAAGCGAATTATTTTAAAAAAAAAAATTAAACCATATGTTAGTCCTGAAATGACCTAGTTGTGTCACGTTAAACCCCATCTCTCTCTCTCTCTCTCTCTCTCGATTGAGATGCAATAAAATGCAAGTTACTTCCCTTCGAATTTTTTGATTGGTCAATCAAAATAGCAGAATTATTAAGGGCAGTTAATTTGATTATTTGTCTTCCTCTGTGAATGGAACCAGGGATTATTGGAGTAGAACGGAACGATACCCGTGAGGATACCAACGTTGACAGAGTGCATCTGTAAGAGGATCATTTAACATTACCTGGGTGGTTGTAATCTCCACTATGGTCTAGAAAACGTGGATTCATTTAATATAGTGGGTCTGGCTGGAAAGATCCTCAAAATTATGCAGCCTTTTAAGGAATAAAATTCTACTGGTATAGAGGTTAAACATGAATACTTATTGGTGGGAGATCTAATAAAAGTTGTGATTCCTTCCACCCATGCAATTTTAAACACAGGTTCCCTCCCTGTTTTAATGGTTTTAATTGATAATGGCCGTTTATTTTACAAATATAATTTAATTTCAGATACAACGTACAGTTTACGTAATTTACGGAATGAAGAAGCTAAATTATCTTATGTGAATATATTGAAGATAGAGTAATAAAACAAATATTGTTAATTATTATTTTTTATTGATGTGGTTTGTTGTTCAATAGCTGTTACATGTATCAGTCCTTTAGGTGTGTTTATCTGTTTGTTGTTCAATAGCTGTTATGTATTAGGTCTATTTATCATTTTGGAAGGATTCACATTAAAACTAATGTTCACCTGTACATTTAACATTTTTTGTTGTCTGTGGTTGCTTTAAATGTTCTATATGAAACCATGTGTATATACATTAAAAATGTATGTATTTTCATGGTGTATTTTCATTATAATGATTTAAATACCATTATTTCATAATAATACCAGTGTGTATACATAGATTTTGTGTATATTCATTATAATTATATAAACCTATGTGTAATTATAATTATAGAATCTGTGTGTATATTCATTATAATTATGGAATCTGTGTGTGTACAGTATGTGTGTATATTCATAATAATGATTTAAACCAGTTTATGTCAGGATGCTTTGAACTTGTGTATGTATAGATTATAATCCAGTTGTGTATGTATAGATTATAAACCTGTGTATGTATATACATTATGTCATTAACATGATTTAAACCTGTGCATGTTATTATAATTATATGACCTGTGCATGTCATTATAATTATATAACCTGTGCATGTCATTATAATTATATAACCTGTGTATGTTGATTATAATTATATAACCTGTGTATGTCCATTATAATTATATCACTTGTGTATGTTCTTTATAATTATATAACCTGTGTATGTCCATTATAATTATATAACCTGTGTATGTATATTATAATTATATAAACTTGTGTATGTATATACACAGGGTTATAATGATATGAAGTAATAACATCATTTAGTTTTGACAGGATATAATACACAATATAATTATTATATTATAGTTTTGTTTTGAAGAGTTAAACATTGCTTAATGTCTGTCAAGTTTCTGGAAATGATCTCCAATTGATATTAAATTACTCAGATAAGAGCCCAGCTATTAACCCTTTGGCTTCCTGAAACCACCTGTTTCACTGAATGGGGGGGGGGGTATATTATTGTTTTGTTTAGGAGAGTTGATGATTGTTTTCTTTCATGTATTGTTTGTGTTTATCATGTGTAGTTGATCAGGTCCAAACCTTTCTTTCATTTGGTTACGTTTTGATGGGTGTTGTTCAGGACATTGAATACCATCTGATATATTTTCTTCTTTTTGAATGTAGTCCAGAAAGGACCTAGTTTGTGTTGAGTAGAGTCAAACCCCATCTTATTTTGTATAGCAAAATAGGATCATTAAATGAAATGAAATGGGGTTTAACGTCCTCCTGTTCTGCTCCAACTGGGCTAAGAAAGATGGGCATATGCCATACACGGTGCTATGAGGGTAATTTTGCCCGAACAGCAGCACTACAGCCTACTCTTAAATAGAATTCCAACTGTCAAGGGATCTTTTACGTATGTGCATGCTAATGTGTACACAGGACCTCGGTTTTTTGTCCCATCCGAACGACTAGACAGCTGTCCTTGTCAGTCCCTCCAGGCTAGCGAGCCAGCACCTTACCCACCATGACCCCAAAATAGGTACATAATCAAAGAAAACTATTTATGGATAAGAATTGTAATAAACCACAATTATTGTAGAAGCCACGGTAGCTCAGTCAGTAAGACTTTTGCTCGCTAAGAATAGGCCGTAGTGCCACTGTATGATGTATGCCCGTCTTCATTAACCTAGTCACATCAGAACACTAGGATGTTATTAAATTTCAATTCATTTTTTTTTATCTGAGTATCATCTGATTACATAATCCTTGTTAATTATAGATGCTATTGTGCTTAAAATCTGTAAAAAAAAAATAAACATTATCTATCGATTTTGCTGAAGTTTAGTGTAATGTCATATCTCCTCCCTCTTAATATTCCCTACAAACGTCTAGTCTCCACGGGAACGGGTAGAGGTGCGAAAGTACAATAGCATCTTAACCTATACTAATATTCCCTACAAATGTCTAGTCTCTACGACCACGGGAACGGGTAGAGGTGCGAAAGTACAATAGCATCTTAACCTATACTAATATTCCCTACAAATGTCTAGTCTCTACGACCACCGGAACGGGTAGAGGTGCGAAAGTACAATAGCATCTTAACCTACACTAAGGGTGACTGTTGTTTATCTGTTCCGGGTTGGCGACCCCCAACACATACCTATGTTACTGATAAAGTTGAGAGAATACTCTTCAAAACGTTGACTAAATATATAAGCTGTTTTCCATAAGGCATCATTTAAAAAGATAAAAACCAAAGTGGTTTAACTAAAAAGAAATAATTTAATATAACTAGAGTCATAAAGAATAATACAATTGGTGTATGTAGTAAATGTTGGACACCATAATTATATATATCAGAAAAATCTGCTGTAATCATATTATGCTTGTCATTAATAAAAACAAAACAATATTTGTGTTTTACATGGGGGTTACTAATGTCCAAAAGAAAGTATACACACTAAAAATATTAAGTTTTGTTTAAATCAAAAAAAAAATGTGATAAAACTACACTGAACATGTCTCGTGCTTCCAAACTCAATATTTCTAAGCAAATAAATAGCAAAACAAACCGCATACAATGGAAAAACGACTTTGTTTGAAGCAAGACGAAATTTACAGTGTATACTTTCTTTTGGACATTAGTATATATATGATTATGGAAAAGAAGCAATAAAAACCAGAATAGAATTAAAATAAAAAAACATTTTTTGACTTCCTTTGAGACAGTGGTTCCCAAGCTTTCGTTGGTTGCGACCCCATTTCAGAAACCATCATCTGATCACGGCCCTCTCGAAGAAAGGGTCACCTTTTACTATCAAACATCATCATTATTTATAGATCAAAATGTTATAATGAGAGACTGAGGAAAGAAATTGTGGTTGTGAGAGAGGAAAGATGATTGACAATGTGGCAAGAGGTTTATTGATCAGCGATTTACATGCTTTTCATGAAAACATAGCATTTCTTCAAAAGTTTCAGAGAAGTCTGCCACGACATCACGAAAAGTGCTCCTGGGGTCGCAATCCAGAGGTTGGGAATCCAGGCTCCAAGATTTGACTGGTGAGAAAGCAAAAAAATGAAGGAATATTACAAAAATTTACAATTTCATGTCGCCCGTATTAGGTAGAACTTCGGTTTCTCAAAATGAGTGAACCAACTTCTCATAACTTAAATTAAAGGAGATCATAGATTTCTAAATATGCCAATTATAAAATTTTTATTTTTTTGTTTTCTAACCAGGTGTTGTTTGTTCAATTCTTGTCTTAATCAGGTTTCTCTAGCACCCACGTTTCTTATATTTCTTGATAAAAATCTTTTCTAGCAAATGGAATTTTAGATTTTCATTTGTTAAAAAACCTGATTATCATACACAGTCACAGAATACCCTGTATTTAATACCTGAAATAGTGGTCTGAGACCAGTGGGAGTAACTAGAGTTTGTGCCCTACCCCACGAAAAAAATAAAATTGTGTTTGGTATCTTGTATCATTATATGCTACTGTTTGAGTCCCAGTTTTAAATCACAAGGCAGCATCCCGGGGGAAAAATACAAAGTAATCTTGGTAAAACAACAGGTTGAATGACCAGAAGAGTAAAAGACCAATTAGCTATTTTGTTTTACAAAAATTAAATAACTTTTTCTAATTAAAACTAATTTCAAGTTAACAGCTATATAATAAACCACAGATATCTGAGTTACCAGTTACCACTGGTTCTTTGTGGGGGGGGGGGGGGGGATTTTGTTCACCAGAATCCTAGAGTATAACAAGACTCCTGTTTCCAATTCAAGTATCTGGATGATATGATATTGATATGGGAAGGTGGATATTTAACGATTATAATACTCAGAGGTGTTGGTTGGGGGGCCGTCAATTCTTTTTATTTACCAATTTAAATTAATCAATCAAAATAATACTCTTTTGTGGGTACTGTATTTACATTGCTGGGAATCGTGCTGCCCCATGCCAAACTCCCCACCTTATATATCCACACCCCTTCATAAATCCTACATACCCAGTTATAACAACATCAGGGACTCAAGGGTCTGCAGTTTAAATATTCTATCAGGGACTCCAGAGTCTGCGGTTTAAATATTCTATCAGGGACCCAAGAGACTGTGGTTCTGTCAGGGACTCATCTGCAGTTTAAATATTCCGAGTTAAGTAAACAATATGTTACATGAATATATACAATAATAAAATAGAAATATTGGCAGTTTTATTTATTACGACGATGATATTCCATAGGCATTCGTCATCATGAGACCAAAATATGCATCGTTATCAATAGACGCGCTGACTCCACAATAATAGTTGACAAACTCTTCTTTCGTTATCTGAAAACATAAAATACACCATGTTATTAGTATTTTGAATATGTATGTGCTGGAGAAGGGATGGGGAGGCAGTCCCTCCCAGTGTCACCGAGTAATACTGGACTGTGTAGAACATGCTAGAGTCGATTTGTAGCATATGTGACCCACAGTATATGTATGTGCAGGAGAAGGGATGGGGTGGCAGTCCCTCCCAGTGCCACCGAGTAATACTGGACTGTATGGAACATGCTAGAGTCGATTTGTATCATATCTGACCCACAGTATATGTTTGATACTGGTTGAGCATTATAATTATGATTAAACTGGTTAGGCATTATGAAAATGATTAAAAAGTTGAGAACTGGCATTTGCGAGGGGTCGCAAAAACTCAAAACTATGACGCAAAGCTCGTCATTGCGTCCTTCTCACTTAGCCTCTGCTGTCCAGGAAAAATTACTCTAATAGCACATTGCACACTTCATTAACCTGGTTTGCGCATGCCTGTCTTCATCAGCCCAGTTATGTGCAGAAAAGTAGGGTCAGATCTATTTACCAAAGCCAACAGCAGATTTACCCAAGGTCACGAGATGGTGAATTTGGCAGGGTATGCTACTTCAAGAACCTTCACCCAGACTTCACAAACCATTCTCATACTTCCTTATGAATTTTCCCAACTTTCAATCACTGTTTATGAGAAATATCTTTGATCCAGAAACACAAAACTTTGCACATAGTTTCTTATCGATGTATTTGCTACATTAAAATAACAAAAGTTTTATAAAGGGCTATATTTTAGTTAAAAAAAAGAAGAACAATTTTGAGTAAATTCTTAACTTAAGTCTGAGAATGCTTTGTGAACTTGGAGCCTAGATACCATACTAGATTACATGTATATTGAAATTTAGCAGAGCAAAAACATTTCTATAACATATGCGTTAACAAAAACCTATTTATCTCACGAAAGCATCTTAGAATGGTCTTAATAAACTATAATATAAAGTCTAATCATAGAACTGATTTGGTGAGCCACGGTGGCTTATTGAGTAAGATGTTGGCTCGCTAACCTGGGGGTCTCGTTTTCAATACCTGTGTTAATCGAGAAAGTTTATCATGATTTTCTGGCGTGGAACCCCCTTGTGTGCAGGACAGACAGACAGAGGGCCTGACAACAGACAACGTATAGACGTTTGGATGGGACGGAAAAACCAAAGTCCTGTGTACACATTGGCGAGACGTTAAAAGATGCCTTGACAGTTAGAATTCGATATAAGAGTAGGCCATAGCCTACACTGTATGGCGCATGCCGGTCTTCATTAGCCCAGTGGCAGCAGAACAGTAGGACGTTAAACTTCCATTTCATTTCATATCATATGGGAGGGTGGAGTCAACTTTCGATTCCCCGGCTGTTCGTGACAAGGAGTATATGTCACCTGTCCAACCTCATAACAAATAGCAATGGGGTCTGTATACCACAATGGGTAGGCACCTCTCGGTAATAGTGACCCAAATCACTGTTACAGCAAGAACAGGTGCGATTATTCTTTCAAGAACATCAGATACCATTTCTCAAATAGCTAACAATATTACTGGGATGGACGTTCATAGAAAACTGAGGCAAAACAGAAATTTAAGTTTGACTCCTTATTAACCCTTGCCACCTGGACAGCCCGCAGGTTAAAGGGCCAATCCCGATAATTTTTTGGAGAATAAAACTGCTTAATTTTGTGTTAAAATGCCTTAAAACCCTCTACCTATATACAAGGCGAGCAAGAAACTCAATATTTGCGATACGTTTCCAAATAACTTAAATCCGTCAGTCTTCATCTGGAAATGGAGACCGGTGTCTCAAACTGTATTATACGGTGTCTGGATAAAACCAGACCTTTTTTTTAATAAAAATAATGTGTAGGTGAAATTTACCATCAGTTATCAAGTACAGCACATGGGTCATTCACTGTATAGACCTCTCAAGAAACGGCAATAGATTATCAGGTCACCCAACGAAAAATTGACCCAAAATCTTAAACGGGTTACAAGTCCAGATAAGCGGTTTTGACGTTCACGTCCAAACGACTCAATATTTTGAGCTGAAATTTTGAGACAAGGTCAATACACCATTCCTATATATTTTGGTGCTTAAATTTCATATGTACTCGGACTTTAATTTTTGGGACTGTTCTAATCGGGTTAGTCCCTTTAAATCTATTTGATAAGACCAACTTCAAGGTCAAAGGTCTCGAGATGTAAACAGGGCTAACGCTAATCCCAACCGTAATCATAACCCTGGACCTAGCCCCAATGCTTACCCTAACCCTAACCTACAATCTCGTTAACAATCACATGCCCTAACCTTATTTACATCTCAGCGACAGAGATTGAGCAGGCCTTAAATAGATTTAGCCTGGACAGCCCAGCCCGAAACTTCTGCGCCTTCTTGCACCTCTAACCAGTCATGTTAATAGTTACAAACTAATTGACGACCGAATTCTTAACAAGGGCAGTTTGAGTCAGTCCACGAGGCAATAGTTTCCAACGGTTAAGAAATAGAGCTTCAAAGACCAATGTAAAAGAAAATCAATTTTTAAGGGAACAAGGGTAGTCGGTATTTACATGTATCAAGGAACAAGGGGTAGTCAGTATTTACATATGTATCAGGGAACAAGGGTAGTCAGTATTAACATGTATCAGGGAACAAGGGGTAGTCAGTATTTACATATGTATCAGGGAACAAGGGTAGTCAGTATTTACATGTATCAGGGAACAAGGGTAGTCAGTATTAACATGTATCAGGGAACAAGGGGTAGTCAGTATTTACATATGTATCAGGGAACAAGGGTAGTCAGTATTTACATGTATCAGGGAACAAGGGCTAGTCAGTATTTACATGTATCAAGGAACAAGGGCTAGTCAGTATTTACATGTATCAAGGAACAAGGGTAGTCAGTATTTACATGTATCAGGGAACAAGGGTAGTCAGTATTAACATGTATCAGGGAACAAGGGGTAGTCAGTATTTACATATGTATCAGGGAACAAGGGTAGTCAGTATTCACATGTATCAGGGAACAAGGGCTAGTCAGTATTTACATGTATCAAGGAACAAGGGTAAGCAGTATTTACATGTATCAGGGAACAAGGGTAGTCAGTATTTACATGTATCAGGGAACAAGGGTAGTCAGTATTTACATGTATCAGGGAAAAAGGGTAGTCAGCATTTACATGTATCAGGGAACAAGGGTAGTCAGTATTAACATGTATCAGGGAACAAGGGGTAGTCAGTATTTACATATTGATCAGGGAACAAGGGCTAGTCAGTATTTACATGTATCAGGGAACAAGGGTCATCAGTATTTACATATATCGGGTACTACAGGATTAATCATTGACACATTTAATTTTATCAGGGAAGGGTTGTCAGTATTTACTGAAACATCTAAATCTGTTGCCAACAGTGAGGCTGGTGTCCCCCACCGCAATCCCAAAATAAATAGATGATACATATTAATTGCACATTTATCTTTTTCAAAAGTATCAAGCAGAAAATCTAAGCACAATTTTCACGAGTCAAGGTTTTGAAATATCTGGTGGTGAAACTATACACTAAGTTTCATAACTCTCTGTAAGTTAGAATCAAAGTTATCTTGTCCCAAAGCATCGAACAAAGGAATTGCTTAGCTCTGCTATAGCTTTTTTGTGGAAAATGTTAATCATTGAACTCAGTCAAGACATTCACCTAAAATGAACATCTACATTAAGTTTAAACATTCTAACTCAATTAAAAGCAGAGTTATTTTGCTCTAACGTCTTGACCAATCAAATTGCTTATCGCTACTTAGCCTAAGCAGAAAATTCTCATTATCGAACTGAGTCAAGGTATAATGAATCCATACTCTAAGTTTGATTGCTCTTACCCAATTAGACGCAAACACCCAATTAGACGCTAGTTATCGCTTCAACCAATCAAACTGTTTATCCAGCTCAATTAGGAGAGAGGTCATATAGACTCTGCCTGTTCTGCAATCCCATTCAATTTCTGAATAAAATACTGTTTTTAAAAAAAAAGGATAGACAGACGAATGGACAGACCCATTTTAAGAGTTCCCAGCTTTCTTCAAAAGACGGGGGGACAAAAATAAATTTACAGCAGGTGCACAATAATAAAATTTAAAGTCATAAAGCAAGAATTAACAAACAACAGGTGATAAATTGAATTTTTGTCACAATAACACCTTGTCTTTGATCTGCAAGTTTGGATCACAAGCAGTAGCAGTTGATCGAGTAAGGTAGTACGATTTACCCAGATTCACCCAATCATAATATACCATAATATCAACTCATAATAATATACTATTCTTTATGCTAAATCGGCATTTTTAATTGAAAATCGTAGCATTTGTGTGTACAAATTTCCAAGCAAGTTTGGAAATTGTATTACACGAAATTGCTTACATGGAAATCACATTTTGAGGGGAATATTAGATAGAAAAACATTATGATTTTAAATCAAAAAAGACAATTTAGCACAAAAACGGTATATTATCAAATATTGATATAAATTATTATGATACGAGTTGAAATATCATGGTCTATTTGGGTAGATTTCGGTAAATCGTGCTACAGGTTGAGAAATACAAAGACTGCAAGTTGAACTGTGTAAATTCAATAACTGAAGACTGTCAATAAGTTTTAAAATTGAAGGTTGGTATCAAATCTATTACGAGTCTTAAAAAAGGTGCTGAACTGTATTTAAGGAAAGTTTTTGTGTTTTTGCCACCTAATCTAGAATAGTTTCTGGCTAATCATGGAACAAAAAGTGTTGTGCACAAGATTTGCGAAAAATACTTGATTTAAATACTAATGTGGCCGTAAACTTTCTGTTGGGTTGCCATGATGACATGGTATGGGTTTAATCGAGTATCATCATTGCCATTATTGACTTACAGACTGAAGGAATCTTCGGCTGAAAGATACTATAGGTGCAGAATTGATAAAAGAGCTCGTTATTTAAAGTGCACTATATC